GACTGAAAACTAGCTCAATCTGACTCAGACAACTTACAGGGGCTAAATTCGTAAAAATATCTTCTGTTTTTTTGTTTGGTCACAAAGGACTATACTGTAATTTCATACCACTTTTAGGTTAGATTTGCATTTGATTGAAGTTTGGGTCTAGTATTGGGGTCAAAACCAAGTTATAGGTTAGTTTTGGCAAAAACCCCTTTTTATAATACCCCAATGGAGCTAAATACACAAATTTTTATAGTTGTAGAACCTAAATACACAAATTTAATAAAATCTGAACCGAACCCGACTAAATCCAAACCTAATCTGATCCAAATTTTATAATATCCGAATGGAGCTGAAATTCATGAAACCGAAAATCCGAATTCCGAATGAATCCGAACCGAAACCCGATTGGGATCCCGATTGCCCAGCCCTAAGTTTACTAACGGAAAATGTATCAATCTCATGTAAATTTTAATTCAGTTAGTTTTCGTTTGATATATATATATACACTTGCATGTACCAAATAAATTATATTAATGTAATATTCTCCTATTTAATTATTCAGATAAGGACATTTTAGCTAATACGCAAAAAAATCTTAACCGGGAGATGAAAGAAAAATTGAATGATCCCAACCAAACAATAAATTTTGAGCAAATAATTAAATACAATTACAAAGGACAACAAATCTTAAATAAAGCAAATAAAATCTATCTTTGGTATTTGGCAAAAAAAAAAAAACTTTGGAAAAAAAGACCCACTCATCCTTTCGTGCAGCCTCGCCTCTTTTTTTTTTCCTTCTTCCAAAAGCCTTAAATATTCCTTCCCTGTCTTACCCATTAATTCTCAAACTCCCATTCTGAATCCAACTCCAAAAAGAAAAGAGAAAAGTATTGCTCTTCTTCTATAGTCTTATTTTCTTAAAACAAATATAAGAAAATGACAAAGAAAATGAAGCTCCCATTTCTGAATAAGATCATTTCATATTCATCATCTTCTTTCTCTTCTCTGCCATCATCTTCTTGTCATCAACAAAACCCTAAGAAACTATTTTTCAGAGGTTTCTTCACTCTCAACAAACCTAAAAATGTCAACAAACCCGAGCCACCTTCACGCAGCTTCTCCTCATCCTCCTCTACCACCAACGACGTCATGGAAAATCCACGGGAGATAGAGTGTATAGAGAATGTGATTAGAGGACTAAAATCATCAAAAAGACTTATCTTTGAACGTAGAGGAAGATCAAACTCCATACTCGAAGAAGTTACTAAGAGAGAAGAAGATGAAGAAGATGACGCTTCTGAGGAGGAGGAAGAAGGCTTCATACTCTTGTCCTTAGAATCAAACGACCCTTGCTCAGATTTCAAGAAATCCATGGAAAAGATGATTGAACTACACGCGCTTCATCATGATTGGAGAAGACTCGAAAAACTTCTTTTCTTGTTCTTGAAAGTCAACGTTAAGACAAGCCACAAATACATCTGCGCCGCGTTCGTCGATTTACTCTTAAACTTAGCAGTAGAATCTTCTAAAGACGTCGCTCAAGAACCCCGTTCTGAATCTCCGTCGTCACCGATATCATTCTACACGTCGTACTCGTCCTCAGATGATACCTCGTCGACGTCAGTACGGGCCTTACCGGAAAGTTTGATAGGCGAGAAGAGGAGGGACGTTGTTCGTTGTTTATCGTCATTGTTTGAGATGGAGGAGAAGATTAAAGACAATATTGGTTAGAGTTGTTATGTTTCTTCTTAAATACTTCATTTGATGATTGTAAGCTTATGACTTTTGTTCTTTACAGTCACAGGTGTCGATATTATTATGCTATGCAGGTAATTAATTACACGTGAGATCTTTTGGGAAAGTACCATATGAAGTAGACTAACGCATCCCTTAGAGCATGATTAATGGAGGAGATATATTTGAGGTTTTTAGAGTATGATTTGATATTTTTTTGGTTAAGAGACATCTCTTATCGTATTAATGATATTTTTTTTCTAGTTTTTTTCTCTGTTCTACAAATCGGTCATCTAGGCGCTAAGCGATCCTCTTCCGCCCCAATTTATGCCAAATCGCTATAGAAAATCGGTCGTCCGATTTTATTCCGCCTAGATGACCGCCTAGCCGCCCGCCTAATCTATTTTTTATTTTTATTTTTCTAATAATATTTTTATCTATTTATTTGATCAAAAATTTAATAAATATAACTTATAATTATAATTTTGATGAAATTATATCATATTAATTTTATATATTCTATTTGTGCGTGCTTTATAAGATTCTAAATATGAAAATGTATTCATGTTATACATAATTAAAGATTAACATATTTCATAACATATCAAATAATAAAAAAATACTGCCTCGTATAATCTCTGCTTAATCTCCGATTTTCTCTTTAGGCGCTAGGCCAAACCATGCTGTCCGACTAGCGCCTAGCACGTTCCCAAACATGAGTTTTTTTACTTAAAAACTGAGCGACTTATCTTATATTACACTAAAAATCTCACCATAAGAGACCCCATTGATCATTTTCTTGTATATAAAAGAAAATCCTTGATTGACAGCTTCACAATCATTTAAATATTCGATTATTAATATGTCAAGTCTCATAATCATTTAATAATTCTGTGTTTATACACTAATTTTCTTAACTTTAACGTATACAATTTAATGTGTTCACACAATAATTTTTTTAATCAGCTCATTTTTAATTTTTGCATTTATAATATTTGTATTACTAAATTGAAGTTATCTCCGTGCAACTATTGAATAATATCTTTGTTGAAAAAAATAAATTACAAAACTATTAAGATTTACATCAACAAAAATGTTGCAAATGAAAATATTTTTAAAATTGAAAATTTTGTATCTTAACAAACTTGGTCATGTTTGAGGCTTATGTACACGAATGCATCAAATAATTATGATTGGTTAGGAATTAAAGAAATCGAGGTGAAAAACGCCCCATATAAAGTCGAATATTTAGTTTAGCCAAATATTGTATTTCTTTACTGAGTTTTTATATTAAATCAAGAATTAGAAACATAATCACATTGCTAGAAAAGAAAATCCGCAAAATCGATTGGAAAATAGAATTCATGTTCCAAGTGAAGAGATCACATTTTTTCGACGCCCTTTTTTCACTCGATTGTATCATGTTTTTATTATATTTATCAATATTTTTTATAAGAAAGTACATGTTATTGGGTATAAACTACAAACTATGTCAATTTTTCAATATGCCCAACAATATTGACACAACTCAACTAATTTCATTGTTATTCTTAAAATATGGTCCAATTAATTATCTATGTAAAATAAGTCTATACTATTTGTTTTATATTTATTTTATTTTGCTTTATATTAGTAGAAAAAAAATTAGTGTGGATCAGATATCTGGATCCAAAGAACCGAACGGAACTTGATTTGAAAGTAACACTAAACACAAACTAAAACGGATTAATTACTCAGATAAATCTAAAAATTTAATATCCCGATAACCAGACACGAACCCGATTCAAAATGAAATATTTTGGATAACAAAAATATCTAAATCACAATTATATACTTAAATAGCTTACTTGTTTTAATTTCTATATCTAATAGATATTCAAAATATGAAAATATCTAAAAATTATCAAAATAGTCATAAGTAAATATTTTAAAATAAAAAAGTTTAAGATACTGAAGGTATCTATTTATTCTCCATCAAAATATTTAAGTTAAACTAATTTTTATTTAAACTGAAGTATTTATTCTTACATAATTCAAAATTTTATGTTTAGATTATTTCTATTTTTAGATCTTGAGAACTTCAGTATATTTGAAATTTTGTTAAAACTTACATAATTAAAATGGGTACCCGGACCCGAACCGAAATTATAATGATTCGAACCAAATACAAATCAAATTGAAACCAAAATTTGTAGATATCCAAATCAGATTTAAATTTCTAACTTTTAAATTTTCAAATTCGAATAGATCAACTGAATTTAAACGAATATCTGATGTTCATCCCTATAAAAAATTATACGAAAAATGCGTACAACATAAAATAAAGAATTTTTAATTAATTATTTCACTGCACGTACGGTGTGGACCGTGTTCGAAAACACGCCGCCTAGGGCCGCATAATCGCCAGATAGGCGCTGGGAAACCGTCGGGATTTGCAGGTGGGCAGCTAAAAAATTGGTGCTTCGTTTTTTTTTTTTTAAGTTTTGAGTTCAAAAGCTTCAAATTCATGGTAAATCTATCATATCAGAGTAATAAAACAAGAAAAACAAGTTAAATCTATGAGAATTAGCGGGAAAAAAAATACGGCCAATTTAGGGTTTTCACAGGTTTTGAAAAGAAGAAGATGATAATATTTTTGTCATTTCTTCTTCATTAAATTTAATTGAACTTTTTTGACAAAATTTGTTTGGGAGCTTCGAACCCATGACCTCTTGAACATGATAACAGACCGACTAACATTATTATGATAAGCTAACATGTCTTATATATTATAGGATCTATTATAAAAATTTACCCTACATAATTTCCAATTAATCCCTAATTATATCATTAGGCATTAGGTGATAGCCGTCTGTCCGACTAGCGCAACGCGTATTAGAACACAAGGTGTGGATGACAACCTAGTTGTATCGCCCTGATTTTAAGTATTTTGATTTGACTTTTTTTAAATATAATCCAACGGCTCAAATATAGTTAGTAGATCTATACAGACAATTGAATGTGCCTCTCTTGTGGGCTTTATGAAAGCATAGGGCTGGGCATTTTATTCGTTGAATCTGATTCGATTCATTATTCGTCTCGATTCGATCCGAAAATTCCGGATATCAGTAAATTTTCGTATCAAAACAAATACTAAAAATCAGTATCCGTTAAAATCGAAGCAAATCACAAATATTAAAATTTTGAAAAGCAGATATCTGATCCGATCCGGAAATATATAAATAAATGTAAATTTTGATTATATTTAAATTTAAATGTATAGAATTATTATTATAGCTTATGATTTGACTAACTATATTCACATTATTACTTATATAAAAGTATTAGATAAAACGAAGACAAAAATTATGAAAATTATAATAAAATCTTAAATTTTGTGTTATTATAATTGTTAACTTAAACTTAAAAAATTATAATTATGTAAATTCACTGCTTCTTTACTTTGTATTTTATATATCATGCAAAAAAATATTTTACAAAATAAATTTATATCAATATTTTAAGATATTTATAACGGAAGAGATATTTTTAAGTATTCATAAATATTCGCAAATATCTATTTATTTTCCGGATATCCGTATTTTTTCGAAGCAAAGCAAATACCAAAATCAGATATCCGTAACATACGAAGCAAATCACAAATACCTTCGAAAACCCGAATATCCAATCCATGCCCACCCCTAATTTAAACTACAAGTTCTTTTCCTGGACCGGACATTCGATTACTTAATACAAAGACCGAATTTAAAATTAAATGAAAATACACCAAGACTAAAGTTAATATATAATTTAGCAGTCACATTCTCTATACGAAACCTTGAACCAATATTAGAAAAGAAAAAGAAAAAAAAAGAATACCCATACATACATAGATCTTTTTTTTTGTTGAACCTTCCAAACAAATTAGCCACTCAACTTCTCTAGACTTAAACCCTGCATAAAATCATCAAATAACATGGTATATTAGTAACAGTTTAATTTTGACTATATACTGATCTGCAATTAACTAATTTTAAAGTTTCATAAAATATTACATCGATCTTTAACCAAACTAATTCCAATACCGATAACCCCCGGGATTTCTTTGCGATTTAAACTAAAAGTAAGGTTTGTATACTTACGTGGAGCAGTCCATGCTAGAGGAGATAGGGAAGCTGAGATGCGTGTTGCAAAGAGGAGGAAGCTCTTGGATCTTATCAGCCAACATCGGAGGCGTATAACCTTTCGTCATCATCTCAACACAATTACACAGAAGCCTCGGATTCTCTTTTCTGTGCTTGGCAATTACGTTAAGTTTTGCGATGTGGACACAACATTTCTTACCGGGTTTGTAATAATTGCCCGTGAGAAATTCAAGACAATAAGAGAAATAATCATATGTGTATGCACAAAAAGGTACGTACGAGTGAACTCGAACCATTAGCCTTGTGTGATCGGAGACCAAGAGAAGTAGTGAAAGCACGACTAGTGTTGGAGTGTGTTTATTCATTTCTAAACTTTGAATTGATGTAAACGAGACAAACTGTTAGATCAGTCTAATATACGACTAAGAAGTTATAAATGTATATTGTTTTGTATTAGTCACGTTTATTTCATGGACTTTTTATTGATGGTTGGGGCATCGTATACGTATAGACCAATGAAAACAATACAAATCGAATGAACGTAGCTAGGAGGAGAAAGATAATTAATTGTGTCAATAATATTCAAACATAAGACCTTTTTAGGTTCTTTTGATTTGTTTAAGTTTTTTTTTTTTTTACAGTAAACAGTCATTCTTTTTTTTATTACTCATTCTATTACTCAAACTAGAGATGGTTTGGGTAATCAGATAAGAACAGAACAACCAATAAAAATATAATTCCCTATGAAAGGATCAAGCAGTCTTAGCTAAAAAATCTGCAATCTGATTTTGCACACGTGGAACATGAGTGATCTTGAAATCTAGGAAGCATATCTAGAGAGACTTTATCCTTTCTAGTTCGGTTGCAAAGCTTGGCCAAGCATAGGCTCCTTGATCATGGAAATCAATTCTTTGCAATCTGTTCCAAAGCTTTGGCATGTCGAGTGTTGGAGCATATTTTCCAACGCCTATCGCAGTGCTGCTACTTCAGAATGCAAGGCTGATTCGCATCGAATGAAATTTCTCGTCCCCATGAGTTGAACCTTCGCAAAGCTATCCATCCAAACCCATCCACTTCCATTAAAATGTGATGTGGATGTCCATGACCCGTCTATTATGTAGATATTACTGAAGTTTATGGTTTGGGGTTCCTCAATACTATGATTTTGTAGCATTGGTGACACCGTTTCGGTTGCATTAAA